AACCAAGCATCATGCCAAAAACTTGAAGTATTCTGTCAATTCCCATTTTAAACTGAATATACGTAGTTTCCACACTGCAATTTCATAAGAAATTGAAACTTCCTTAATACACCAAGGCAGCTGGTGCATATGTAGCTGTCAACACTTTCTTCCATAAAACCTCACCATCTTGATTCTCCATAGCCATTAAAATAGCAAAAGTGGTAACGTGTCCTCAAATTTCTGCTCCCAGCCTTTTTCCTTATCACAGCACCTCATCTTACCAATTACCAAATGAAATAAACTTTTTCTTTATTAACTTCCCATAAGAAATTTAATCTGATCCTGTCCAGAATTTTCATTTTCATTACACAATGACTGGAAAAAAAATTGGTTGGTTTATCCAATCAGTTCATCGATGGTTGGCAAGTATGATGGTTACAGGCACTAAAAATAAATACATCATATATAATAATGGCAGAGAATCAAGGATGCTATTTATCAGGATTGTCCTCATTTCAAATAGGAATATTATCTTTTCTAATTTGACTTCTTTTCAATTTTATCAATGATCCCATGCCAAATATTATCTAATTTATCATTTATGCGCAATTAATTGTATGTCTAAATATGTGGCAGTCAAAGAGTGCGTAAATTCAAAAATCTCTGGTCGTCTCTTCTAAATCCTACGCTTCATTTATTGGAATAAAAGCTACTTTTGGCTAATTTTATTTGTAAATTGTAATCCTAACCTAAAATGTTTTGAAGAAAAAAGTATTAATCCTCGGATGTTTCAATTGTGTGCCATCTGCATCACAAAGAATAAGGGCGTTATCCACATATATGAGATATGTCTACTGAGTACTCTTCTCAACAACAACAACCACCTAGTAGAATTCCACAAGTGAGGTCTGAGGAGGGTAGAGTGTACGCAGACCTTACCCCTACCCTGGAACCTGGAGGGGTAGAGAGGTTGTTTCCGGGAGACCCTCGGATCAGAGACTGAGTACTCTTCTCCTAAACCAATATTAAAACCCCTTATCCCACTCTTTTGCATGGCTACTTTGACATCTTGCAAGACTCTCTAGTACAATTGTAAAAGGATCTGAAATGTAATACAAGCTTTTCCAAGAACTTCTTAAACCCCTAATCAATAAACTTTTATTCTTGATGTGAGATACTAAATAACTCAAATAATAATGAATGAAGGGGGGGAAATGGGTCCCCTTACTTTCTTCCACTTTCTGGAAAGAATCTGCCCAGATAGCTATTAATGATAATAGAAAACAAGACCGGGAAGGTACAAAAATGAATCCACTTTAACCAGTTCTCTCCAAACTCACTTCTTTCAGCATATGGAATAAAAACCTCCAATTATATGACCTTCAACTCTTAAGCCTTACACCTCTTGCGAATCAAGATACTATAGCAGGCAATAAAGTTTCCCACTGGACTTATGGGACTCCTTCAGCTCCTAAGCCTTACATCTAATGCGACTCAAGATACTATAGCAGAATTGAAACCTTTCTCAAAACTTTCAAGTTTCGACCTAATATAGTGATTTATAGCATTTAGCAAGTCTTTATTAATCATTCTCCAACACCTTTAGTAGAAAGCCACCTAACCATGGGCTTCTTCACCATTATGGTTACATCTCTTGCGAATCAAGATACCATTAGCATGCATCAAAAGTTCCCACTAGACTTATGAGACTAAAGTCCTTCAACTTTTAAGACTTACATCTCTTGCGAATAAGATACTACTCCCTCCGTTTCAATTTAGATGAGGTAGTTTGACTCGGCCCGGAGTTTACAGAAAAAGAAGAAAACTTTTGAAACTTGTGGTCTTAAAAGCTTAAGGGGTAAAAGCTTTGTGGGGCCATGACATTTGTGTGGTTATAAAAGCTTCTCATTAAGGGTAAAATGGGTAAAATGAAGAGTTTAAAGTTGACTTATTTCTAAATTTAGAAATGTGTCATTTATGTTGGAACAGACTAAAAAGGAAAGTACCTCATCTAATTTGAAACGGAGGGAGTACATGCTATGAATGAAAACGACCAAAAGACCTACCGAAGGGTATATTTGGAAGTTTAGCAAATTACATTTGGGACACTAGTTAAAAGGAGCATGTGCACTCTGTAAAGACGCCTATATATAGAAGAGGAAATATTCTATTAAGGTTATGCAAGAACTTAGCCTTTCTTTCTTAGTTTTTTACTTAGATCAATTGAGGAAACCCCCCTCCCATCTTTATTTTCCCTTTTATTTCTGAGTTTTATGTAATTACATTCTCCATTTCAATAAAATCCCCCTCTATTACAATCTCCGTACTCGAAAATAACCTTTTCCTCAAGTTCGTGTATAGCATCATCACTTTAGGAATTAGGACATACTCTGCCGCCTCAAGAGCAAGTTCTGTGGCAATAGCATCATTCCAGTTCACTCTTTCAACTGCTCCACTGTTTGGTTCCATGTAAAGGACATCACCAACAATCGTTGTTGACTCCGTTGTCAAATCCATCTTGGCAGCATGCCTGAAGGCCCTGCTAAGAGCAATTTGATAATATCTGATAAGCGAATAAGGATTCCAATGACGATAACAATGTTGTCAATATATGGACTTTCTGCTCCCCAAAACCAGGAGCTTCGAGTGCATTAATGTGCCATGCTCCTCTCAATTTGTTCACAACCAGATTGGCTAGAGCTTCCTCCACTATGTTTTTATCTCTTCCTTCCCTTAACATGACAGACTCCTTTGTTAAACTAGTCAAATTCATGAATTGCAAGGAAAGGACTAAGGTCTTAAAGCTGTCCTGCTCTTGTATGCCTGTGGTAATAATCCAAATGACATCTCGGGCAGAAGCTTCAGTTCCCAAAGCAAGGTCTTGGTTCACTTGATCAAATATCCCGTCAAACAAGTTTGTATAAATGAACTCCTCCAATGCATCTTTTGTATTAGTTGCCTGCTCCATATGTAAACTATTGGCAACATTATCCATGCCAGCTCGAATTTACGTGTTGATAAAGCTAGTATGAGCTCACTTACACTACAACCAATCAAGCCAGCAGCACTTCAAACAGCTGCAGTTTGCAGAAGTGCAACATGGCTTGCATTGTCAATGACTTGCGATAAAAAGAGTTTAACTGCTGAAATTTCTGCTTTCTCTATTTCAACCTTTAGCCAGTTGCGATAAATTGCAGCCCATGAATATCTCCTTTAAGTACTCCGAGAACTCATGATTCTTAATGGAAACCAGATCATCTGAAAACTATTTTCAATGCGCAGCGAGTAAACTAAGCAAAGTATGAACTCCAAGGGCATTGCGGCCACACAATATTTAGCTACATTAGCTCCATTGCTGTTCAAGACAAGTTCAGATCCTAGTGGTAATGATAATGCAGTTGCACCATCAAATTATGTAGCACCCACAATGCCTATCCCAGAATTCTTGCCATTTGCATGTTCTCCATGGAGCGCAATCATTGTACGGATAACGGTCACACCACCGTCCTAGGCCAAAGTTTGTGGAATAGCTCCAAACGCTATTGCAACAGCCCATGATATGAAAGAGCTCTTAGACGCAATTTGTAATACGTCGCTACCTTAGGCACGTCTAAAGCAGTAGCAGAATTGGGAAAGATAATTTTCAATTGGTCTTGTGTGGTTTTCTCATTATCTGCAGGCAGTTGGTTCCTCATGCAAACATTCCTTCACAACAAGGACAGAGGTAGAAGATCCAAGTGTAGCAGCAGGGAGTGGCGCATCTGTTGCAGGAATGGGATTGAATACAATCAGTTCAGCACTTCCAGATTGTGGCATAACATAGATGACCTGATCCATTGCACCAAACTGTCTGCTGATATGTCTTTCACATTCACAAGTAAAGTGTGCAAGTTCATTTTTCCCAATAGCAAACAAAATGTTTGGACACTGAAATCAAGTTGGGACCACAATATATATTCGAAAAAGACCCTTCAAGTGAAGATTATCTCAACCTGTCAATTTTTCCGAGCATACAAGCATGATTCGCATGTAGCGCCATCATTAGATCTAAGATGGTGGCGATTCAAGTGTCAAACATGGTAGAAGACTAGAAGGGTAGAGAGGCATGGGATAGGAGCAACGAGAACACCAATGTAATGAAGGGGGATTGTATAGAACTGGAGAAATGTAATTACAACTGATAGAGGTGTTCATCTCTTTTCTTACAACAAAACTCAGAAATAAAGGGGAAACAAAGAAGGGAGGGAGGTTCCAGATTTACTCTGAGTAAAAAACTATGAAAAGAAAGACAAAGTTCTTGCATAACCCTAAAAGCATTTTTCCTCTTATATATAAGGGCATCTTCACATAGTACATGTGCTCCTTCTGACCAGGGTCCCCAAATGTGATTTACTAAGTTTCCAAGTATGCTCACCGCCTTGGGTCTTTTTGTAATTTTCATAATGCTATAGCAGAATTGAAACCTTTCTCAAACAAATCTACTGAAGTGATTTATAGCATTCAACAAGTCCATATTAATTATTTTTCAACACGCTTAATAAAAAGCCATAGTAAATCCATCTAGCCATGGGCTTTGTCACCATTATGACTCCCATTGACCTCCTCCTTTTTCGGACAACATCCATCAATAGGTGAAGAGTATTTTTTGATGTGGCATCGTTCCACGTGACAGTGTGTGGAGTCTAGACTCCCATTATGAACCAAGTGATTGGAAGAAAAAACACATGTGCCGTTCAGTCCTCTTACAAAAGAGAGGGAAAGACCTCTAGCAACCAAGAGTAGGGTAGGGAGAGGGGCCTTTAGTATTATAACAACTAAAAATGCTAAACACTGGAACACTCATCATTATTGAGACCAACTATATAGCATCTTCTGTTGTCTCCGTCACTAATCCAATCCCATCCATGTCAAAAATTGTGTGAACTTGATAAATATGTGACAATTCCAAAACAAGGAAAAGAATATACATACAGCAACCAAAAGAGAGGTAAATTTTGCACTGGTCCAAGAGCACTTACCGGAGCAGCAGTATTCTTCACATGCCAGCTTCTTTGGGCGTCTTGGCGATAATAGAGAGAGCGTGCAACCCAGATTGGAGCTCATCTGACAAGAGTTCGTACACCATACGATGTCGTTTAACGAGATTCTGTCCATCAAATTTGCTGGAGACAATTTTGACATTGAAATGGGTCTCGTTAGTGCCGCTTTCCTTTACGGCGGCATGACCCGCATGCTGGTAAGAGACGTCTTCCACTTCAATTAAGGTGGCTTCAAGTGCCGATTGTAGCCTCGTCTTCATCCTACTCGCCCTCGATAGCAGCCCTCGTGAAGCCATCGCCAATACTTTTCTTCGCATTCAACAATAAAGTGATAAAATATTGGTGTTGGTGCCAAAGAGAAAAGAAAAACAAATAAAGGGAAGCGAAGCATAATGTTGGAGTAATAAACCGTAGATCACAATATGATACTTTGTGTTATAAAATAAAGACTAACTAATATATTATTCGAATTCAAACTGGCGTACATAATGAACTGAAATCTCTTTTATTTATAGAAGAAAGTAAGTTGTTGTGTAAGCTGTTACTATACCAGATATGGATAATCTTCTACTGAGAGTAATGTTTA